TAGGATATAAAACACTTTCATTCGTAATGTTATAAGCAACACAAATTGAATGAAATTCCGAATCAATATTCTGAACAATAGCTCTTAGTTCAGAATGTCTGGTCCTATTGTATTGCTTCATTCGTATTTGTCTTCGACATCTCAACCGAGCAAGTTTTGAGAAAACTTGATTGTTATCCATCTATTCAAAATAAAATCAAAATTAAAATTAATAAAAATTATATATATTGTAGGAAGAAAATAAATATTTGTTACCAAATTGGATAACTTATCCATGAAAATTTATTAAATATTAAATATAGAAAAATATTCTTAAAAAAATTCCTACGGGGATTGTTCTTTCTACAAATTGATTGTTATCCATCTATTCAAAATAAAATTAAAATTAAATAAATAATATATATTGTAAGAAGAAGATAAATATTTGTTACAAAATTAGATAACTCATCCATGAAAATTTATTAAATATTAAATATAGATATTCTTTAAAAAAATTCCTACGATGGATTGTAAAAAAAATAATGTGTTAGGGATTATTCTTTCTACAAATTGATTGTTATCTGTCTATTCAAAATAAAATTAAAATTAAAATTAAAATTAATAAAAATAATATATATCGTAGGAAGAAGATAAATATTTGTTACCAAATTGGATAACTCATCCATGAAAATTTATTAAATATTAAATATAGAAAAATATTCTTTAAAAAAATTTCTAAGGTGGATTGTTAAAAAATATTAAGTTAGGAATTATTCTTTCTACAAATTGATTGTTATTTATCTATTCAAAATAAAATTAAAATTAGAATTAATAAAAATAATATATATTGTAGGAAGAAGATAAATATTTGTTATAAAATAGGATAACTCATCCATGAAAATTTATTAAATATTAAATATAGATAAAATATTCTTTAAAAAAATTTCTACGGTGGATTGTAAAAAAATACTGGGTTAGGGATTATTCTTTCTACAAATTGATTGTTATCTATCTATTCAAAATAAAATTAAAATTAAAATTAATAAAAATAATATATATTGTAGGAAGAAGATAAATATTTGTTACAAAATTGGATAACTCATCGTGAATGGGTTAGGGATTATTCTTTCTACAAATTATTTATTGTAAAACTTAATTTCTATTCAAAATAGAATTAAAATTAATAAAAATAATATATATTGTAGGAAGAAGATAAATATTTGTTACCAAATTGGATAACTCATCATGAAAATTTATTAAATATTAAATATAGATGAAATATTCTTTAAAAAAATTCCTATGGTGGATGGTAAAATTGGGTTAGGGATTATTCTTTCTACAAATTATTTATTGAAAAACTTAAATTATACAAAAATTTATTGGATAATTCATTAATGAATATTTATTCAAAAACTCAAATTCATTCAAAAATTTACTTTAAAAAAAAAATAAGACTTCTGCTCCTGGTTTTTCTGGTAGAAAAATTGTCTTCTAGCACAAATAAAATAATAAAAAAAAAGGGCTAAAAATATAAGAACTTGAGGAAGAAGTAAAACTTGCTTCTGGCCTAAATAAAAAAAAAAAAAAAAGAACAACAACATGTAAAGTTTATTAAAAAACTTACTTCAAGAAGACGGACTTCTGATCGTACTCCTGGTGGCAATATTTTTCGGTAGAAAATTTTTGTCTTCTACCATAAAATAAAATATGGCTAAAAAATTATATAAAAATTCTAAAAAATTTAATTAATAAAAATGAATATGAATCAAATAACATGAAAATATAACAACTCGAAGAAGAAGTAAAAGTTTCTATTACTTCTGCCATAAATTAAATATTTAAAAAAAAACAATACTCTGTAAAACTTGCCTGAAGAAAAATAAAAACAACACCCTGTAAAACATGCCTAAAAAAAAAAAAGAACACCAGAAGAAATTTTCTTCTCCGGATGGCAATCTTCTCCAATAAAAGAGATAAAGTTTCAGATTTTAGTTCACTATAAAAACTTCCTTAAAAAACTAATCCACTTACAAATAAACTTCTAAACTGTATATCCACTAATGTGTAAAAAAATGTAAAAGAAAGAAACAAAAAAAAAAAAAAATCTCAAAATTCTGAGATTGCAGAATTGGAGAAATTTACAAAAAATGGGGTCCATGTTTTGAGCTCTTATATATATATATATTAGGGCTTTATGAATTAGAAGCATGCAGAACTGTAATTCAATTTGCAGACAAATCAATAAGATTTCCGAAAGGAATTATTCGTGATGTACTGGTGCAAGTAAACAAATTTATTTTCCCTGCAGATTTTATAACAATGGAAATGAGCGAAAATCGCGAAATTCTAATTATTTTGGGGAGACCTTTCCTAGCAACCGCTTAAGCAACTATTAATGTCACTCAAGGCAAAATCACACTAAGCCTAGGTGGAGATAGAGTCACATTTTCCATGAACAATGCAATGCGCCAACCTCAAGAAGAAAATTGTGATTTAATTAATGAGTTAAATGAATTATCAACTTTTGAGAACTATATGACACTTGAAACTTTTGGAAGAAATTTCAGATAATGGATCGCTCAAGCTGGACGATGTTATGGGCTTTAGTGGGGCAAGCGATGAAAGAATAGCTTCCGATGAGTCTATTGAGAAAGCAAAGCGAGAACCAGAGAGAGATGCCTACATCAAAAACGAGTTGAAGAAGTTACCTGAGCACCTCAAATACATATACCTTGGCCCGGAGGAGACTTACCCGCTGATAATCTCTGCCTTACTACTTGGACCATGAGGCTCAACTAGTCTCACTTCTCAAAAGAAGAAAAAAGGCGTTTGCATGGAAGATCACGGACATAAAGGGAATCAGCTTAGCGATGTGTATGCACCATATCAGGCTGGATACTGATGCTCGACCATGCAGACAGCCTCAGCGGCGCTTGAACAAAAACATGCAAGAGATAGTTAAGAAAGAGGTAATAAAACTATTCGATGCATGAATTATCTACCCTATCAGTGACAGCCAGTGGGTTAGCCCAACCCAGGTGGTTCCCAAGAAAGGAGGCTTCATCGAGCAGACAAGCGACAAGGGGGAGGTTTTCATGACAAGACCTGTCATTGGGTGGAGGGTATGCATCGACTATAGGAGGTTGAATGTTGCAACGAAGAAGGACCATTTCCCGTTGTCGTTCCTTGATCAATGCCTGGAGAAGCTCGCAGGACACGAATACTATTGTTTTCTCGATGGCTACTCAGGCTACCATCAGATTCCCATCAAGCTGGAGGATTGTAAGAAGACCACGTTTACCTGTCCTTATGGTACGTTCGCTTATAGGAGGATGCCATTTGGGCTTTGCAACGCCCCGACCACCTTTCAGCGATGCATGTACCATAGATTCAGTGATCTCCTGGACTCCTGCATAGAAGTTTTTATGGAGGACTTCTCGGTATATGGCAAGACATTTTCCAGATGCTTGAATAACCTGGAAAAAGTACTTCTCCGCTGCATTGAGACTAACCTCGTGCTGAACTGGGAGAAGTGTCATTTGATGGTAAATGAAGGAATTTTCTTAGGCCATAAGATCTCAGCTGCCGGGATTGAGGTGGACAGATCCAAAATTAGTGTAATTGAAAAGATGCCAGCGCCCTCGAATGAGAAGGGAGTAAGAAGTTTCCTTGGACATGCGGGGTTTAACCATCGCTTCATCAAGGGCTTCAGTCAAGTCACACAACCGCTCATTGCACTGTTGTGCAATGATGCTCAATTTGGTTGGTCGAGTGGGTGTGAGGAGGCTTTCCTCATTCTAAAGGAAAAGCTAACAACCGCTCCCATCATTCTGCACCTGTATGGAGCGAGCCATTCGAGCTAATGACGGATGCCAGTGATTATGCCATCGGCGCTGTTTTGGGACAAAGAGTGGAATCCAAGCTAAACTTCATCTATTACGCCAGTAATACGTTGGATTCTGCTCAGAGAAATTACACTACAACCGAGAAGGAGCTGCTAGTTATTATTTTCGCTTTCGAGAAACTCAGGCAATATCTCATCGGAAGCAAGACCATTGTTCATACAGATCATGCAATCAAATATTTGATGGAGAAGAGAGAGACAAAGGCCCACTTAATTAGATGGGTGTTGTTGCTCTAAGAATTTGATATAGAGATTAAGGACAGAAAAAGGAAGAAAAATTACGTTGCAGATCACCTCAGCAGATTAAGGCAGACAGAGGACATATCTCTTGGTATCAATGAACTATTCCCAGACGAGAAGTTGTTTCTGGTTCAAGCGAAGGAGGCATGGTTTGTTGACCTGGCAAATTTCTTGACCACAGGACAGTTTCCCACGCATACAATACAAAGGGAAAAGAAGAGATTACTCAGTTTAGCAAATGATTATTTTTGGGATGAACCTTATTTGTTTAACATCGGCTCAGATGGGTAATCCGCCGATGTGTAGCAAAATCTGAGATCCTGCTGATTTTGAACGAATGTCATGGGTCCTATGTAGGAGGTTATTTTGCTGGTCTACACACAGCGGCCAAAGTTTTGCAGTCAGGCTTCTTATGGCATACCCTACAAAAAGATGTTGATGCCTTTACTAAATCTTGTGACAAGTGTCAGAGATTGGGCTCTATCTCAAAGCGGGATGAGATGCCCCAAACTGGAGTCTTGTTTATTGATATTTTTTATGTGTGAGGGATAGATTTTATGGGTCCCTTTCTGAACTCAAATGGGAAACTATACATTTTGGTGGTAGTGGATTACGTGAGCAAGTGGGTCTAAGCGCAAGCTCTACCAACAAATGATGTTCGATCCGTAATCCGTTTCCTAAAATATACCATATTCCCAAGGTTCGGGGTCCCCAAAACTATCATAAGCGATGAAGGCACCCATTTTGTAAATAAGGTGCTGCGAACTTGCCTTCAACAATATGTGTTCGTCAGCATCTAACTACCCCTTATCACCTACAAGCAAGCGGTCAGGTGGAAGTTTCAAATAAAGAAATCAAGCATATCCTCCAGACCACAATGAATAAAAGTCGTATGAATTGGGCAGAGAGATTGGATGATGCGCTATGGGCATATAGAACAGCCTTCAAAACTCCAATAGGAATGTCCCCATATAGACTTGTGTATGGAAAAGCCTGCCATCTACCTCTGGAACTTGAGCAATGCGTATTGGGCTATCAAATATTTGAATTTTGATCTTTTTCCCGCGTAGGAGAAGCACGCTGAACGATTGCTCGATTTGACTGAGTTTCGATACCTTGCATATGAAAGTATGAAACTCTATAAGGAAAGGATGAAATTCTATCATGACAGGAAGTTGAAGAAGAAAGAATTTACTGAGGGATCCAAGGTTCTGTTATACGATACTAGGCTTCACTTATTCCCAGGGAAATTGAGATCACGGTGGACTGGGCCATATATAGTCAGACAAGTTCTGCCAAGTGGAGCCATAAGAATCAGTAATGTGGACAACCCCAGGGAAAGCGATTCCTTCATTGTCAATGGAGCGAGACTGAAACCATATATTGAATGGCCTATTTTGCAGCGGGCCAATGCAGATATTAATCTGGTGGAGGTGCAGAAACGCGCTCGGTGATAGAATTACAAGTGATATCCAGAAGTGCCTTACCCCGAAAATGCCAAATTTACAGTTTTCTATACCGCTTTCGTAGTTAAATTTTACAACTTTAATTATCGCTTTCCATAGAATAGTTGTTATTGTTTTATAGAAGTAGTTCAATGCTTACTTTCTTAGGAAAAATAATTAGAATTTTAACTTATAACATAAGCCTGACCCAAGCCAACCATCGCTTCTCTTGTTTCATCCTAATATGCACTGGAAGAGCAGTACCACTCACCCAATATCGCTTCCATCATCGTTTGTGTCATACATAGGTATTTAGAAGTATTGCTTTAACCGTTCACCCGCCCTATAACCCACCCTTATACCTTTATATTAATATCCTTTGGACCAGTTTATCGTTTCGCTCACCCCTCTATATAAGCGCTAGTATCCTCTATAAATACCTCAATTCACAGCCATTTTCCACTTTTACCCTACAGTAACTTCCTCAAGAAGCTTCAGCAACCGCCATTTCTCCGCACACTACAATTCAAAAATCTTGATTCTTCAGCCAATTCTAACTCAATCCAAGGCAAGATCTAGGCTAACCTTGGTCTATAAATCCGATTTCATGGTTGATTTTCTCTGATTTGACGAACAATAACACAAAATCAAACAATATTTTCGCGAAAACTGTCTGTTCTTCAACTATTTGCGAAACTTCTTATATTTTCGATTTCTGTGAATCTAAGTCTGTTATCTGCTAGATTTAGATATAATAACTGATATAATTGCTTCGAATTGATTAATTTTACAATAACATGTACGTTTGGTCCTTGTTCTGTGATTTTATCCCTCTTACGCAACGAACCACTTACTGGAGTGTTCTGTTCGTTGTGAGGAGGAGGATTTAGGGTTCAAATCACTAAGATTTAGGAAATTATTGCCTGTTATATGAATATTGTTTGCGTTTTGGAACTAATAAGGCAGGATTTATAAGTTTCCTCAATTAAACAATATAAATCTGAAAAAAAAAAAACCTTAGGTTCAGAACAAGCCAACAAAATAGATCCAAGCAAGCGAGAAACGTCACTCAAAGAGTTTGAGAGGATTGAGGAGAAAGATGAAAAAAGGATTCAACGAATCAAATTTATAGACGGGCGGAAGGTAGTAACTACAACCTCGGGGGATGAATTTGTAGAATCAGCACCGCCAGAGGAATACTACAGAAGGAAGAGGCTACTGGAATTAACTGAGGACTGGGGAAAGCTTAGAGAACTAAAGTCTATTCCATTTAGGAAATTCATCCCAGAGTTCCTGGTGGATTACCTCATATTCGAATACACAAAAGAAACAGACTAGAGGTATCCGGTGAGCAACTGGTGGTTAGATTACGAGGAGTTGAAAGATTTTCAATTGAAGGAGTTGAGGAGAGAATTCGCTCGCCAGGAGATCGGAGAAAAGATGAAAGCCTTTCGAAGCGAGAAAATTTCCAATAAAAATGCCGTCGATGCTGCCAAGGACGCGTTGAGATCCAAGCAGTATGACTCTGTCCATTTTGTGAACATCGAGGCAGTGACGGCATATAAGAAGGAAAAAATGATGGGGATCCTTTACCAGAGAGAATTTGACCCCGAAAAAATCTCGGGCCCGCTCGTCAACTGGCTGAGGGAGTGGGGCCTGATCTAGTTGATCCAAAACCCCAAGGACCAAGTGGATGTGTCACTGGTGAGGGAATTTTACGCAAATCTGAGCCAAACTAACAGTCTACGAAATGTATATGTTAGAGGAAGATGGGTAGACTGCTCAGCGCTAAAGATCAACTGTTTCATGGGCTGGGAACACCACTATCCCACCCAGGAGATAGAGAGCAGGCTGCAGGCAATGGAGGACTGTAGCTCACTTGAGCTGCAGACACTTTATAGGACCTTCGCCACCACCCCAGAATATGACAAGAGAAACCTGAAATTCGGGTCGGTGGACGAAGAGAAAAATGAATGGGTCAAGTGGTTGTTGAGCCGAATAATAATTACCACCCACACCACAGACATCCGTCCTAATTTTCTCCTTGCTTTGCGCTCAATTTTGGAGGAAAAACTGATATTGATTTGGGCACGATCATTGGCATAGATATCTGGGAAAAAAAGTAGAACGAACGCTGGATCACGGGACCCTGATTACAGAGTTATGCCAATGCGCGGGCATCAATCTGCCCATCACAGCCCCAGATCTACAAATGAAGCCGCTGCTCCCAGCGGCCTTCCACAAAGCATGGCTGGAGTCCAAGGGGTTTACCTTCATCCCCAAACATAAAAAGAGGAAGGCGAAAGCAACTGTTCCTCCCCCTCCACAAAAAGAAGAATGAAAGTTTTGGGGGAGGAAATAATTCGAGAAAAGGTGGCACCCGAAGCCAATCCAGAAGAGGCCGCTGTAGGGCCAAATTTAGAACCGTCTTCAATGAAACTCTCATTGACGAGAAATAGGAGTTCCACCACTTCGCTTGGGAGATAGAGGAGGACATATTTGATGCAGAAAAGACCAGGAGCGATAAGGGAGGAAAGGCCCTGGAGGCAGCCGCTGGTGAAAAAAAGTCAAATTGGAAAGAAGACCGCGCTTCGGAGCCTGTCAAGAAGACGCAGAGGGTGAAGGCAACACTCAGGAAAAATCCAACACCCCCTCGGTGAGCGACAAGGCAGGAGAAGGGGAAGGGTAAAACGGTGGAAAAGGAAGCAACTGAGGATACGATTCTGTTGTCAAAAACTCAGGAAGGGGATCACCATTAGGGAACCCACCGCTCAACCCGAACAACCCTCGCCAGCAAGGCCAACAACAGAGAGGGTGCCACCCAAGCCACTGAGTCCAACTTGCGATGAACCTGTCCCCGTCAACCAGCAGGGGGCAAATGTGCCAACTACTGCTGGAACAGGCAATGAAACCGCATCCGTTAACCAGCTGAGAGCAGAGAAGCCTACTGCTGCTGGACCAGAGGATGAGCGGGAGATTGTTATCACTGAAGAAACCATCGGCGGAATCGATGTCACAGTAGAGTCTTACAAAGAACAACCCGCCGAGGTCCCCGCTGCCACAACCACTGAAGCTTCCAGTGAAACCGAAAAGGTCTAGGGAGTCATAACAACTCTTCTTATTCTGCAAGTGTCTCCACAAGCGACAGAGACAACACCGGGGACGGCAGAAGCAGAGCCGATGCCATACAGTCCTAAAACGCCAGTAAGAACTGGAACACCTGCAGAAACTCTGACTCCGGCCTAAGAAAAATCAGAAAAAACAATCTTCGATGAGGAGGGGATGAAGAGGAGAAGGAATTTTGAGAAGAACAACCTCAGCTGCTCGCCGCAATGCAACAATTACAACAAAAGCGGAAGCGTGAGCGACGAAAGAAAAGAAAGATGAAGGTGTTGGCCAAATTGCTAAAATATTGGAAGCCGTTGACCCAAATCCAGCTGCGATACAGGAGATAATTGGAACGTAAGAGAGCAGAGCAGCTGGAGTACGAGGCAGCGAGACAACTTGTGTTCCTGATGGACGTCACTCCCGAACCAGCACCTGATTCCACAAATGAGAATGAGCCAATGGACATCAGTTCGGCCGAGTCTGAGGAACAGTCACCAGCAACCGCGGAGGCAAGCAAATCAGCCTCCCGCGCCGCATTTGACACCTTAGGAAAATGACTGGATGAACTCGACGAAGCCATGCTCAGCCAATACCTAATAATCCAATTACGGATAGATACACATGCAAGGAATTTGGCTGAAGTACTGACCACTGGCAGGAAGGCGAGCTCCGCACTATAAGCGCGCATAGAAGCACTAGAGACTCAAGCTGCAAGCCTGGGTGCAGAACGCGATCCTTATGGAACAACAGCTCGATACAACGAAAAGTCTTCAAAGAATGGAAGAGCTAGTGCGACAGCTGACAAAGAATTTACCTCTGGGACGAGGACCCACAGGCGAGAAAAAGAAATGATATAGGGTCCTCCCCCGTGTACATACTTTTTGGAAATGGCAAGGGCTGTACAAGGACTAATGATCAACGATACAACAATTTTTGGTAACAAGTGAAATTTATCTTTATTGTATGCCTACCATAATCTAAAGCATGTGTTTTTATTTGAGATACTTTTAATACATCGCTGCGTTAGCCCAGTAATATATTTTAGAGTAAAGTTAGATAACTTGCGAACACCAGACTGAGTAATCATCCCTCGACCTTTATCAATAATGCGAATATTAATGTTGAACTAAGTAACAGCGGATATGTCTTGTAAGAATTAGTGCCCCCTTCGTTTCAAATTTCCCATACTCAGTAGGGCAAACGAACTTATGCCTATCGAATTTGCTCACAAGAGATGACTTGGAAAGAGAAATCCTTAAATATGGTTTAAGACACGATGTAAGCAAAGCATGGAGGACCTATCATTACAAGGGAGCTGAAAGGGCCTAGGTGCGTGAAAATCAAATAAGATCATGAGCAGACACAATGTTTGCTTGAAATTCTTGATCCAAAAAAAAAAAAAAATGATTCTCCGCACCCTTCGGCTGAAGACTTCCTTAATCAAAAAAATAATCTCTGCTGAGCGAACAAAGTAGATGATACCGGGATAACTTCACTCGTGTTAGATCAAATGAAAAGTTTGAATGCTTAAGGATCAATTATCTCTATTCGAGATTCACCTTGTTCCCAATCATAGCACTGATCTTAAGCAATACTTAACTGTAGTGAACAGAATAACTCTTTGATCTTATAATTTAGTTTGTTCGAGAATGAAAAAAGGTCTAGTGTGAAGAGGTTTGATTACTCCAAATATGAGCATATTCTTCGCTTGACAAAACTACGTATTACTTGAATTTCTGTATAAAAACTATCACAATAACTGATTTATGGCATACTTTATTGATCTATCTCGCTTGGCATGATTCAGAGTTGGTTTGTTGAGATTATTAACAATCTTTTCCCTTTTAAGCGGTGTTTTGGATCCGGAAAAGTTAAGGCAAATAAAAAAAGCGATAGTTATT